AAATGTCATAGGAAGAAAAAACTTCTTATAGAGAGAAGAAGTTAAATTTGCAAAAAGCATGCCATAGCAAAGCGTGCTTTGATTGAATGGAGCGCGTTATTAACTTTAGACATATCGTTCATTAATAAATTGGATTAAGGGACGCAGGTTACAACAACCTTAGATTAGTTCTCTTTGCAGATTTAACTTCTTCTCTCTATAGAATACATCTTATGAAGCAAAAAAAGAAGAAAGCGAGAAATTTTCGACTCACCACCACCTCATCATGACGTCGATCAACTTTGCAAGCATCCTCACTTGTCGGCTTTACTCGTACACAAGCGAATTGCTGGCGATTTCCTATTCGAGCTAGAGCACAGGCTCCCACCTGGAAAAGGGGTACCGTAACAGCGTGATGACGGCGGCGTTCTTCTAACATCTGCTATATTCTTTTATTTTACTATAACTACCAATATCTAAAGGTTGAGATACCCAAACACGGCAAAGTTGGAAAGTAGGTTAAAGCAATTTTGCAAAAATTGCTATCGTTTACTATATATTATTTGGAAATGTTTATAATCATTCTCTTCATTTTTCAATCAAACATGGAGACAACTAAACAAACAAATAAAAACTGCAAAATCTGCAACAAGTAACTATTTCAGGATCATATGGATCAATGTGCATACAAGAAATTTGCTTAAAATTCCTTCACATCCCTCTCACTACTTTCCTTCTTATTTTCTCAGCTTCATATCCATTCCCTCACTTTCTCCTTTGTAGCACTATTATATCGTACTCCCACCATCCCATCAAAAATAATTACCATAGTATCATCTGCATTGAAACCCAGCTCATAAGCAATTCCAATGTCGCGACGCTATTATGCAAGTTTTTCACAAGTATAACAACTCTTATACCATTCGCAATGTATGCAAAGGTAACGTCAAAAAGGCTAGCGAGTGAAAAACAAAAGCGCAACCCAGAATTCTCTGTTAATTCCCAGAAAGAATGATATAGCAACATAAGAATACTGGGAGGAATCGACAAAACCAAAAGAAATTTTAGAAAAATTATATTCAAAGACAACACAATACCTGGAATAGAGATTCACTGAAGAAATTATCGTGACTCACAAGACTGCTTCCATTCATTCTACAAATCCTATCTTTTTTATTCTTATTAATTTCTCTTTATGAGCACTCGTCGGACTACATCTGGGGTAAATAAAGCACGCCGAG